AACCCCCCCTCCCACCGAGGCACAGTACCATGGTCCCCATTTTATGTGGAAGGATGCTAAGGTCAGCGGTGGCTAGCGGGACCATGGAGAGAGGAGAGAGCACAATGGTGGAGGGGGCACTGAATCCAACTTTCTGGTCCCCAGGTCCATACGCTTTTAACTACCCATCTTTATGGTACAGTTAGGTGCATTTCTCTATGTCAAGGCCATGTGTCGGGGGAATGTTCTAGAGCCTTTCTAATCTGAGAATACTATCTATCCTATACTATCCTATCCTGTTTAGTGTCTCCAGCCAGCCAGAGTACCTACGACCTCCTCGAGAGCATGCCTTTGCTATCTTCCCTGTGTAAGGTCCTCACCCACCTTTGATTAACAAAGTGGGGAAGTTTTATGCTCTGTCTTTTCCTCTTCTTAACTCTTAGCTAGAGTCTTCTCTGTCAAGAAAAGTTTAAAAAGAAAAAAAACAGTCAGTGATTAAAAAGTGAGAGAGGCATAAATGCCAACATTAAATTAATGCCCAGCATTTTCGTTGGATATATTACCCGTTTTTTTTTTCAAGAAGGTCTGTTTCGTTTCAGAAAGACTGTCTAGAAGAATGGAGAACGATGCTAAGTAAACCAGTGAATCATTTCTAATACTGCTTAATACCCTGCTATAAGGAAATAGAATGTGCAGAGTTCTGTTCCTTAAGGCTAAGTAACATGAGAGCCCATAACATGGAAATATGGTTTCCTGGGTGTATCATCATTTTAATATTGGTATTTTATTGGGCGCTCCTATCTCACAAAGCTCCAGGTGTTCTATCAACATTGCTGTAGTAATTCTCACACTCCCCCTTCATGTTGATGGCCGGGTCCCATTTTCTGGAAGAAGACAATGGCACTCAGAGAAGTTGAGTGGCCTGCCTGGAATCACTCAGCAAGTCAAAGTCAGTGCCAGGATTGGAATTTAGATCTCCTCGTACTGGATTTCCAAAGAGCAAAATGAAAATAGATCTGCTAGCGTGTGGGTTACACAGGCAACAAACTCATGTGGGTGTTTTATGTGAGGAGGAATTAATTGTTTGCTTCTTTTTTCCCGTTGGCTTCGGAGGTGGGAAGTGCATGCTAAACCCAACTATCATCAAGACCGTCCATTGCAGACACCCTGAGAAAAGCTACCTGTGGGTTCCTGGGCGGGATAGGAGGAAATCATCTTCTTCTGCCTCTTCCAGAAAGAGGCATGGACACTGCCTCCTTTTATCTCTTCAGCCCTAAAGAGTATTTTATTGACTGTGGACCACAGCTGGGAGTTGAAGGAGACCTCTGAATGCATTGCCATTTAGTTGTAAAGACCACGTGGAGGACAGGAGGAGCCTTTGTCCTTGGCTCTGCAGGAGAGGGGAGAGGGTGCAGGGAAGGTAGGGAGTCGGTATCACTAGCTTGTGTGGTGTCAGCACAAAGGAAGGGGTGACCAGGATGCCCAGCCCTTCCACGGACAAGGGAGAACCCACCACACATCTGACCCACTCTGTGCATTCGTTGGAAAGGCTGAGGCAGAACTGAGGTTGGAATCCCTGGTTTCTAAGAGCTGTCTTTCCAGAATAGAGCCTGGTGTTGCCTTAATGGCTTCCCTGGAGAGCCCTGGGGAACCCTCATGACTCATGAGTTATAACCCATAGAAACTCTTAAGAGTTACAGAACGTGACTGTGGCCACAATGGCATTCTCTCCCCAGACATCATTCACATGTGTCACTGTAGGGCAGAAAAAATATTTCTTGTCCATTGAAGGAGAATTAATATAAAAGGAAATTCCACTCTCCTCCCTCCCCCTGCACTCACGGCTACCATTAGCCAGAGGAGAAGCCAACACACATGGCTTTTACTATGTGTGAACTCATCCAGCTCTTAAAACACCCTCCTGAGGTAGGTTTTATTGTTACCCCCATGTTACAAAAGAGGAAATGGAGACCCAGAGAAGTTAAGTAACTTGTTCAGGGTCACATAGTTGTAAATGATGAAGCCAGGATTCAGTCCTGGGCAGGCTAGCTACAGAGTCTGCGTTTTAATTTACTGCCTGCCCTGTATTACCTAGCTCTCGTGTCCTTTGTGTCTGGCTCTAGACTCTGGGAAAGCAACTGCGTTCTCACTATAATGTCATTTCTTCTAGAATGAAGTTTCATTGACTCAACAGATTATCTTTAAGAACAAGAGGAATTTTTGACATGCAAAGGGAGTTCACTGCCACTTTGTAGCACCCCCTCTAACATTCAAAGGGTCTCCCCATACTGGGATGGTAATCGGTTGGTGACCAGCCTCTTGGGTCTCTCCCACCATCAGACAGCATCAAGAATGCTGGCTCTGGTGTGGTCAGCCTGAAACGCAGTACAAAAGCCAGGAGATAGGGGCTTCTGGGTGTCTGGGTGGCTTAGTCGGTTAAGCCTCTGACTCTTGGTTTCAGCTCAGGTCATGATCTCAGGAACATGAGATCAACCCTGAGCAGGGCTTCATGCTCAGTAGGGAGTCTGCTTGAGATTCTCTCTCCCTCTGCCCTTCCCCCTCGCTTGCTCTCTCAAATAAATAAATCTTTAAAAGAGTCAGGGAACTAGTTAAATTTTGGTGACATCTAATTTTCAGTCCATCTGCAGGGCTTGGCCTGTCCTGGATGTTTACGGCGTAGACTTTATATAACCAATTATCTATCTTCAAAGTGGTTGCAGTCACCTGAAGAAACTGATCCACCTTGCAGCCCACAGGACATGTATGAATCAGTAGAAATGCCTATAAATACAATAGAGTCCAAATAAATGATGATGGGTACAAATAAATAATGTTCAAGAGGGCTTTATGGGGTTGAGATAGAGTAGGTTGGGATTCTGCTGGCGCTGGGGAAAAGACGTGAGGTTAATTAGGGGGTTGATTGGAGCAAGTTGCAAAGATAAAAAGGAGAGGAAGACGCGGTATGGCGGCCATCTGAACGAGGGAGAGGTGGCATCTCTGTGGCGCGGTGTGATGAATGAGCACCAGAGAAATTGAAGCCATCGCCAGTGATTTGAGCAAGGCACTTAACCTCCCTGGGTCTCCATTCTCCCATCTGTCAATACAGAGAACTGGATATTGAAATGAAGAGGACATAGTGAAACATTCTGTGTTCTTCGGAAGGGAAGTATCACCATCATATATCCTCTGGGTTAGGGAGGATCTGTTATTTGGAAGAAATGCCGGTGGCATATGACACCAGATTTGCCCCCAAGCACCAGTAACTCAGATGCCTTTGGGGGAAAGAAGCAATCCAAGGCATCCACATAGAAGGAAAAAAATAGTAGGAGTTCGGAGCCTGCAAATAACGTACTTCTCTTTGGCATCCTTTAAACAGCCTGGGCTCAGCCCAAACCAAGGCAGTTTAAGCCCAGACCCAACTCTCACATTACTGCCCACTCCTTGCTCTTCTGGTTGGCGTCAGTCAATCACAAGTAGAATCCGATGTTCTCTTATCAACATGACTGATATGTTTCCAGCGGAGTGATGTTTACGTCTTGATCCTTGTTTGTGTGATGTTTGATGTTTTATAACTTGAGTCTCCAGGAATTTTTCCCACAACCGTGCATCATTCCTTATCACCCCTAACCAAATATGGCAGCTTTAAATAGTGCTGTCATTTCCCTCAATTCACTCGTTGTGATATAATCAGGTATAGATTTCTGACATTGAGCATCTAATGGGGTTTCAGATTCAGAAACCAACAATGAAAGATTTTTCCCGCCCCCCGGGTATCTCTCAATTGAGAGACACGGAGTGAAATCGTCATGAGTGACAGGGAGCTAAACTTCATGTCCGTTTGCCCTGAGAAACTAGGGGGTGTGGAAGGGCAGGGGGAAGGAATTGCTGGAGAGAGCCGGCCGTGTGTAGAGGGGGCGACTACCCCTGAGCTCCGGCCCATTGGCGATTTAGGCCCAGAGTTTCCAGACCACTCCATTTTGTGAAAGATGCCAGAAATCTAGACTTTTACATGAGGCTTGTCAATTCATGATAGCCACGAATGTAGAATGGGTGAACACAGCAGGGGAAACAGGCAGGATGTATGACAGCTGTCTGTGGTAAGCCAGCAGTGTCGCCCCTTTGACCTACGGGGGCTCTGACCAAGGCCAGAGATGGGCGTGCACTTGCCCAAGACCCCAGAGTAGATCATGGAACTCCATCCTGCTCATTGCATTTCACTGTCCTCCAGAAAATGTCCGGGGGCTTGGTGCCTAGGTTTCTGTTCCTGTCCCCATCCTTTGGCTCCCATGACTGGCCAGGCACACCCCTGGGCTGGGGACAGACCACGTCTCCCCACAGCGTGATGGTACCTGAGCTCTGAGCTTGGTGTCGGAAGATGAGCATTTGAGTCCCAGCTCTCCCACTCACTGGCTGTGCGACCTTGGACCCACATCTCTCGACTGCCCTGGGCTTTCGGTTTCTTCACCAGTAACATGGAAATAATAATCTGCCTCATGGTACCATTTTCGAGGTTAATCTCTTTTTAAGGTTAATCTCACTGTGCATCAGTTCACCCTCCAAACAAAAAACCAAGGTGCCTGTTCTGTTAGCATCCTTGTGAGAAAGATGTGAGTGTCAAGGAGGGGCGCTGTCATACTCCAGCGACGTAGACACCAGTGGCTCTAAGCCCCTGAGCCCACCGTGCCGTCCCCGGGGAGGGGGAATGGGGGACACAGGGTGGTACATAAGGGGTGCTGAGGGCTCTTCCCCTTGCCTAGCACGAAGCCTCCCTCAACCTAGGAAGTGAAGTAGCCCCAGCTGTCCCTGTGTTTGGTCTGCTGGGATCAGGGCTGCCTAGGTGTTGGAGCAGCCCCTCTACACCTTGGGCCCCAGTGCCATTTAAGCCAGTCACCGAGAATCCAGGGGCAGGGCCATCTGGGGCCAGACCCACATCCCTACACCTACTCTGGCCTGCCCCGCCCTGGCCAGGGGCCATCCTGACCCACTGAGTACAGTGAATCTGGTTTTGTCTTCATTTCCAGGGACGCAAACCTGGCTATTTCTCCTTTCTGGACCCATTTTCTCCTGGCGTCTGGCTCTTCATGCTTCTAGCCTATCTGGCCGTCAGCTGTGTCCTCTTCCTAGTGGCTCGGTAAGCTCGTTGCCCCTTCCCTGTCCTTGCACCGCCACCTCGTGTCCACCTCTGAGAACTGCATGGGAGGGGTGGGGAGCGGGAGGGGTGGGTTCAGAAGACCCTGGGGCCACCCTGGAGGGGTGGGAGGGGGACTGGGGACCTGACCTGCTCTCTGCAGTGCTGTCCACCTGGCACCACCCATCCCCCCACCTACTCACGGCTTCCCTACCATGCACGGTGCAAACAAGCCAGCTTGTCTGAATTTGCTTCTATACCCCCGTCTCTTCCCCATTCCGTTCCCCAGTCTCTAGGCCCCCTGTTTGGGTTTGGGTCTTGGGGGAGAGAGGACGGGAGGAGGGTGGCAGGAAGAGCACTCTGATTAAGCACTATGCCTTTGGCTGCCCTGGCATCAGACCTTGCCATTATCTGCCACAGAGTGAACTGAATGATGACCAGAGCTGGGGGACCGGAGGCCTCAGGGCATGGGCGACAGAGACGGTTTCCTCTGAAGAGGGCCTGGCCCTTCCCCAGCCCAGATCCGCCAGTGAAAATACAGCTGCCTTGTTGAATGGGAGTTGTGCAGGATGGCACAGGATAGGAGGGTGGGAAGGAAAAAGGCATTTGCAAGTAGGGTTGATTTGCAACAACGGGTCCAGATCAGGGGTTGGGGACAATGAGGCCCTCCCCCACCCCTGCAAACAGAAGCTGTCCCTGGGCCTCCCGAAGAACATGAAGGCATCCCATGGCTGAGGCCTCCCATGAATGTGCACAGAGAGGGTGCTCGCTCTCTGGGGCTGGGGCGCTGGGGGCTTCGGGACAGCCGGCTTCCTATCCAGAAGCAGAACAAGCCCAGGGCTCAGGGGTCACCGGTTCAGAATCCACACTCTCTGCTCAGCACCCAACTCACCATAGCGTAGGACCAGAAAGGGCTGTTACTTGGGAGCAGAGAACCATGGGATGAGCTTCCGGAGAGCTGGTGGCGGCTCTGTTCCAGCTGTCTCCCTAGTGGTCTCCTTTGCCTCGGGGCCAGAGTGGCAAGACCCGACAATTCCAGGGTATGTCCCACCTCTGCAGGCTGAGGTCTCTCCCAAGAGCATGTCTGTTCAACAGCTCAAGGAGAACATGTGCTCTCTCTAGTTAGAACACAAAACCCCAGGGCAGCTCGCAGCCTGCCCAGGGAGCATTGTCTCACCCAGTCTCTACCTCTTCCAGTGGAGATCAAAGCCAAGTTCAGGAAAGTCGGCCTGAGCCCATGAGATCCAGCCCAACAGAAGAAGGCCTTGCTCACAAGCCGGTAGTCTTCAAAGGCTGCTGTGTGTGTCTCTCAGGTGCCACCTTCCCTCCTCGGGCCTGGAGGCATTGCCACTGTCAAGTATCTGTTGTCAGTGACAACGGGCGAGACATGCAGGAGGCTGGCATGCCTCTTCTCCACTTCACCACACTGTCTGCTGCTGCTTTTAGGAAGCTGTCTGCCTGAGCCCTGGTTCACGGCTCTGTAATTCACTCTTGCCCCCTTTGATTGAGCCCCAGTGTGTAGCTAGCCACAGCTCTCGGGGGACCTCGAGGGGCCTGGAAATGGTCGGAGGGCTTGGTTCCTAGATATACAGACACAGAAGCCTGCTTTATCCTGCCTGCTGTAGCCTGAAGCTTTTCACCCAGCCCCGGGGGCTTAAATTGCCCCCCTTCCCGGCCCTGCACACACACACACACACACACACACACGCACACACACAGAGCACACAGCACACACATGCATGCACTACCCTAGGATCCAACATTAACAAAAGGACTAATAAAAAAAAATACCACAATACACACACACACACACACACACACTATATCATATATGTATAATGCGTGAACCTGGGTTAATGCACCTACCTTAGGTACTGGTTTTTCAAACAGGGTTCCCTGGGGCATGAAGGCTCCCGGGAGGTGCCAGGGACTTTGGAGGGGTGGTGAAAGGCTCGGTAGCCAGAGCTCTGGGCCTCAACTCCTCTTCATCCAGACCAGTTCCACTTTTATCTCTTGATCTATTGTACTTCTGGGTGAGATTTTGGAGGGGAAAACCTATCTGGAAATCACTAATCTAAGGCAGCCGTTCCCAAGCTGGCTGATATCAGAGTCACAGAGGAGCTTTTAAAAATGTGAATTCCCAGGTTCGATCTTCTCAGCATCTCTAGGGCCGAGGCCAGGGAATCTGTCTTTGAAGCCCAGTTCTAAGAGCCTGTGGGCTTGGAAACCACCAAGGACAAGCCAGGTCTGTAGGCCACGGGGAGAAGGAGCACATCTCCGGACACGGGCCAGCGATGACACGCTGGCATTGTACTCAGGAACAGGAGGGGCGGTGGCCATGTGGGCGAGCCGCGGCAGAACAACAAGGAGGGTAGGCCAGGGACAGGAAGGCCGGTGATGAGACTGGCACCCAGTTCCATGCCGTGCTCGGCACACCCCCATACACATCCCTGTCAGCACAGCTGGGGGGTTTGTGTGGGAGTGGATGGAGGAGGGAAGGCATGCGTCTGGGGGGCATGAAGAAAGGGCGTGGAGAGTGGGAGCGAGAGGCAGGGGGCTCAGAGAAGCCTTTCCGGACACAGTGTGCCCATCACACTTACCCACGGAGCCTTAGAAATGCACAGAAGCAAATCAAATCCTCTGGGAGTGGCATCTCATCATTGGCGTTTCTTTGAAAGCTCCCAGGTGAGTCTGACACAGAATCAGGACTGAGACCCACAGCCCAGGGGACCATTTAGGCCAGGGTTTCTCAGCACGGACCTGGGGCATCACGGTGAGCCAAGAAGCTGCTGATTCTTAGTCCGTACCAGACTCCCTGAATCTGAAGCTTCAGGCGCTGAGCCCAACAGTCTGTATTTGAACAAACCTTCTTGGTGATTCTGATGTAGGTGAACATTTGAGAACCACTGTTCTAGCTGAGGGTTTAAACACTGGCTCTGTGGGGTCCTCCGGTCCCTCTGTGACCACTTAAGGGGGCTGAGGGTGGCCCCCTCAAGAACACAGCACTTCCCAGGTGTCCCCTCCCGCCCCCTGCCACATGCAACTTCCAGTCAAGGAGCCTGCATGTTCATCTGTTTTGTGTTTGGAGTTCCACGTCATGACTTGTTTTGAAAAAATTTAAAAAAAAAATTAATTGAAGAAAAGCGGTACAAACACTGCCAACGTAGTCCAAGCCCCTTGGTTTTGGTTGGGAGGATCCTGGTCCAGCAAAGGGAAGTGGCTTGACTGAAGCCACAGGCCTGGGACTGAGTACAGAGGTGAGGCCAGAAGGGAGAGCCCCCCCCCCCCCCGCCCCGCCCCGCTCTTCCCAGCACTGTTCTTCACGCCCACCCTCCCTGGCACTGGTCTGTGTTCTGTGTTCCTTTTCTCCCACAGGTTGACCCCCTATGAGTGGTACAGCCCCCACCCGTGTGCCCAGGGCCGGTGCAACCTCCTGGTGAACCAGTACTCCCTTGGCAACAGCCTCTGGTTTCCCGTTGGGGGCTTCATGCAGCAGGGCTCCACCATCGCCCCTCGAGCCTTATCCACCCGCTGTGTCAGTGGCGTCTGGTAAGATCCGGGGCAGAGGAGGGGCCAGGCCCATTGGGGTAGGGGACCCCCGAGGGTCCTCGGGTGAGCCCTACTCTGGCTGCAGGTAGCTGGGAAGCTCACAGAGAGCTCTGCCTTCCAAAACAGACTAGCAGGGACCTGGGCTGCATTCCACCAGCTCCAGAAGGCTTGGGAGCACTGGCTTGAGAGCACTGGCTTGGGCACACTTTGTACCATCTTTTCCTGTTCCCCTTTCCCTCTGCCTTGGAGGTCTGGAGACAGAGGGCAGAGAGCCAGGGCAGGAAAGGGGATGCAGAAAAAAGCCTTGTAGGCACACAGCGAAGGGATTATAAATTCCTGACCTGAAAATGACCTGAGGGTGAGTGGCTGGGCCTGCCAAGGCATATGCAGATTTATGCAAATCAGAGTGTGCAGCGGGAAATGCCTGCTGGAAGAATGGAAACCCCGCTGTCACATCTGGCCCCCTCTGCCAGCTTTCTCTACCTTCCTCCCTCTGGGCCTGGCGCTGGGACCTTGCCGGACCTGCCCACCTCTGCAGGTGTGGGCAGAGGTAAACTCAGTGGCTCAGAGTTGGACAGGATCTCGGGAGCAGTCCCCACGGGCAGGTAGCCAGCCTGGCCTGCAGCTCCCTTCTCCTCCAGACTCACCCAGGGCAAAGAGAATACGGTTGAACGATTCGGTGTGTGGGAAAGCAATCTGAAAACTTGAAAGTGCTACATAAATATGTGAACTAATCATTGCTGTTAGACCATTATGGGGAGAAATGAAACACACACACACATATATGTGTTGTATGTACACAACAGACAGGAGGCCAGCTCGCAGAATCCCAGTTCCCCAGCCTTGCTTAAAACCCCACTGTTGCGTTTGGCTCTCATAGCCTAAAGGACTTACAGCCTCGGTTCTCTCCCCCTCCTTCTCAGCCTGTGTAAGCCAAAGGAGAAGGGAAAAGTGGTGTTTCCACCTTGGGCACCAGTGTCTGGACAGTTACCAGAGGGACACTGGACTGGGACTGATGGGGAGGTAAAAACACAGCTGGGACAGTGACCCCCACCCAGCTGGGGGTTTTGTTTTCACTGATAAATGATAAATACAGTAGGATTTAAGACATCTGGGCGATTACCAGGTAATGCCCAGAAACCACCATGTAGATCAAAGGAAAGAACTGGGTTTTAATGTTCCCCGGGGAAAAGGGGTGGTCTTGGGAGGGAAAATCGCAGAGTTCCGTAAAAATCCTGGAAATCAGGCAGAAGCCGTACAGACAAGCAGAAGTCGGCCGCAGACTCTGATCTCTTTCTACTTGGGGCTGTTCCTTCCAAAGGGTGTTTTCCTGTGTGCTCCTCCGAGGGCTCCATCGCTGGCTGCATTCAGCCCCCCGCCCCCCCTCCCATCAGCTCCCCAAGCCCCAGGCATTCCCTCCTCCAGAGAATGTCTGCCTGAGCGCCTGGGAGGGCCACCTGTCTCGCAGGCTGGCCCTGGCCCACTGGCTCAGCAGTACTTTAAATAGCTGTCAGGGGCTGGGGGGCTCCCTTGTGTCTGGGAGGGGGGGCCTTGACTTGTTAGGGAGATCCTCTGCCCCTCGGAGCTCTCAGTTATCAAATCAAGGCCTCCGTTTGATCAGCTCCCTGAAGGAGTGGGAGAGCCAAAGAGAGGGCCATCTCGGCCTGCCTTAGATTCCCCACCCTGAGCAAGGGATGGAGAATGCCACATTGCTAGCAAGAAGGTCAACTTGACAACTGCTAACGCCCCTTTCACACGGGAGCAGGGCTCCATTGACCCCTCTGAAGAGAGCATATGAGAGAGCGTGTGATTCCCTTTCTCAGCAGAGATGATAGGCTTGCCCCAAGCTGCTTGGCTCTCTGACCCATTCCTTTGTGACCAGCGGTATAAAGTTCCCCGAGGCCACCCAGGGTGGGAGAGAGGCCAGAGTGTAGCCAGGGGGCTGAGGGGAACTCCCCAGCCAACTCTGAGGTCAAGTCCACACCCGGGGCTCATGAACCCCTGGTGCTACCCCGGGGAAGCTAAGCCCCTTCAGAATTCTGGCCTCCATGTGGGGATGGCTCACCCCGCCTCCCTGGCCTCCGCTGGGGGACGGTCACAAGAAAGAACTTGCAGCAGAGTGTGAGAGCGGAAGCAGGAGCAGGGAAAGCAGGTCTTAAGGACGGGAGGACACCTGGCCCTACTTACAGGTCACATGTAGGGAAGGTGGCCAGATGCTTTTCTTCCCATATTCAGTGGGAGGGTCTGTCTCTACAGTTCTCTCTATCTCCCATTCCTCTGGTCCTTTACAGAGGATTAGTCACCAGCGACATCTTATCCCATTTGATCTCACAGTTCTCCGAAGACAGGCAGAACAGGCATTACTATCCCCGAGCAGATGAACTCGGAGGAGGTAGGTGGCTTTCCCCCCAAGGTCTCACAGGTGGAGTGGAACAAGGCCAGAACTGAAACCAGGTCACCTCCCCAGTGGTCTGGCCTATGGAGGCACTCATTGAGTTGGTAGATGACCTTGTCACTTCCCTCCTGGGAGGCAGCCTACAGGAGTCCTTGGACACAGTGGTAAAGGAGACAATGGGACTTCCCACTCTGAAAAATCCCCCGGAATCTGTCGGCCTCTGGCTCCTGTGGCAAATGCCATGCTTTAGTCGACAATGTCTTCATAATGAGGAAAGCCTCATTAATTCAGACTCCGCGGATTCAGAACCTGTGATTATCCAACCTCAATTATGCCTGGATATGTCTTTGAAACCCTATAAACAAATGGATTGGGGTGCAGAGCCACACCGCTGACCAGATGGTAGAAGCCTTATTTAACCCACTTAAGTGAACAAACTAGTTGTAATGGCGTTAAGCATGTACACTGCTTGAGTTGCAAAATTATTCTCATTTTAAATGAGTTCGTTTTACCCAATAAAATAGCCCTCTACTTTGAAATAGTTTGCCCATTACAAGAGTAGTTTCTTTTTTCTTTTTTTAGATTTTATCTATTTATTTGAGGGGGTGTGAACCCGAGAGACAGACAGAGAGAGAGAGAGAGAGAGAGAGAGAGAGAAAGAGCGAGCGTGCGCGCGCGCGCAGGAGGCTGGGGGGAGGGGCAAAGGGATAAGTAGACCCCCCGCCCTGCTGAGCAGGAAGCCTACCTGATTCCAGGACCCGGAGATCATGACCTGAGTCAAAGGCAGACGCTTAACTGACTGAGGCATCCGGGCACCCGCATGAGTAGCTTCTAATTCTAACTTCTCAGCTGTTCAAAGGTGCTTATCACCAGTTAATCTTTAAGAGTTTCTTGTTGGTAGAAGTCATTTTAAAATATGGATTTAGGGGCGCCTGGGTGGCTCAGTTGTTAAGCGTCTGCCTGCAGCACAGGTCACAATCCCAGGGTCCTGGGATCAAGTCCCGAGTCCAGCTCCTGCCTCAGCGGAAACTCTGCTTCTCCCTCTCCCACTCCCCCTGCTTGTTGTGTTCCCTCCCTTGCTGTGTCTCTATCTGTCAAACAAATAAATAAAATCTTTAAAAATAAAATAAAACAAAATAAAATAAAATATGAATTTATCCATGTGTTACTTGGCAAGTTCCTTTGCTTCTCTGAGCCTCTGTTTCCTCATCAGCAAAATCAGGGTAAGACTTACCTCCCTTAGTTGTAGGGAATACATGAGATGATGTGTGTGGCTCATGGCAGGCACTCAGCCCATGGCGATGCACATCTGACTGTAGGCTGCATCATGAGAAGACAGGGGCAGCCACCCAGCCCTGGCTCTAAACACAGCCCCCAGAACTGGCACCTTCCGCTCATTCACTAGCTCATTTCTCATGATCTCCAAGATGGTCTCATGTGCATGGACATACCTCTTTTGAATAGCAACCCAATAATCACCTCCTTTAAGAAATGAGGGGGGAAAAAATTAATGGTCTTCTTTCAAGAAAGGCTCAAAAACTCTGTTCATTTCTCTTGACATCATGCACCCTGCCTCCATTTTCCAACCCCACAGAGCTGGGAGCTCCTTCTGAAGAGGGACTCCTGGTCTCTCCTGTGTCACTGCAGGACTGGGGGTGGGGACTAAGACTCCTGGGGGTGCCCGGGCAAGGATGATTTCCTGGTCTTTTCTCACATAGGTGGGCATTCACGCTGATCATCATCTCATCCTACACGGCTAACCTAGCGGCCTTCCTGACGGTGCAGCGCATGGATGTGCCCATTGAGTCAGTGGATGACCTGGCTGACCAGACCGCCATTGAGTATGGCACAATTCACGGAGGCTCCAGCATGACCTTCTTCCAAGTAAATCCATTGGGTGGCTCACCAACATGGGGAACTGGGCAGAATAGAGTTGAGATATTTGTTCTCTAAAGATAACAACATCAATCTTCATCCCATTATCTCTTTTGAACATCTAGTTTGGAGGTTCACTTGGGGCTCATCTATGTCCTGCTCTACAAAGTACCCTTGGAGTTAATAGGTGTCCAACCATCCAACTACCCAAGACGTCCATTTTCACATGAAACAAGTCCAAGGCCTTGGACTTCAGTTTTCTGTTTTCCATAAAAACCTCAGTGCCTGTTGGCACCACAACCACTGAAGGCATCATGCAAACACAGGTGTGGATAGACACACACACCCGGCTAAATTCTGTCTTCTTATTTGTAAAAATAGAGGCCAGCATTGGATCTGGGATTGATACATTGGTTTAGGGTCAACAGAAAGTGGGTGACACTCCTCCTTCAGACAGTGTCTCTTAGAAGTCCCAATGACCCTGAGTTCACTGCCTCTGCCTGAAGGACAGCAAAGGACACAACCAGAATTTCCATTCTTCATTTGGTCCAAACCCGGAGGTTGGCAGCGAAAGTCTTCTCTAGGGTAGATGGGGCAAAACTGATTATCAAACCACTAGGCAGAGTTTACAGTGTCTTAGGACCCTGTTCTTTCCTTGCCTTTCTGTGAAAGGTATCAAAGTCACAGCCCCCTCTCCTGCCATGACACAGTGGTCATTGAGAGATGGAAGGGAAAAGATTATATGGACTATAATGAGAGGACTGAGTAAGAAAAGGGCCAGGATTTTAAGGTCCACTTTGATTACTTCCCTTTTAAAACCAACATTTCCTTTCTCTTGTTCTAATCTTGCTTCCTTGTGTTCTTTTCCCAGAATTCCCGCTATCAGACCTACCAACGCATGTGGAATTACATGTATTCTAAGCAGCCAAGTGTGTTTGTGAAGAGCACCGAGGAGGGAATCGCCAGGGTGTTGAATTCCAACTACGCCTTCCTTCTGGAATCCACCATGAATGAGTACTACCGGCAGCGAAACTGCAACCTCACTCAGATTGGGGGCCTGCTGGACACCAAGGGCTATGGGATTGGCATGCCAGTCGGTATGCAGGAGAGGAACAGCCTCTTTGGGTAGCTCCATCCAGGCAGGGTCAGAGTAGCTAGGACCACCGAATGCAGCACTGAATTCGACAGCCCTGTTCTAGAACCAGTTAACAGTGACTTTAGGTGGGCATTCTTCAGGTTAAAAAAAAAACAAAAAACAAGCAAACCCACATACTTCCATCAGAGTTCTCAATCTTTAATTATGGCAGGTCAAATTGATTAGTTATTAATTGATTAATTACTCAAGGACATGTTGATGTCCTTGGTGGATGCTTCAGGGCTTTTGTTTTCCCCTCTTCTGCTTCCTGCCCTTTGGCCCTTGCTCTGTTGATGGACCTCTAGCAGTGGGAAGGGGAAGGTAGAGATGGTCAAACTTAATTAATTTTACTATTAGTGTCCCCGGGGAAAGGCTTATTACAAAAGGAGATAGACATGATGAGGTGAGGTGGTTTTCAGATCATCTGTGGGACCCATTTACTCCCAATCAGCATAGGTCATTGGGAATGAACAGGAGAACTCAGTATTCAGCTGACTGTGGACTTCCAGGCTGTTATAAGATGGTAGGGATGTTTGACTTCCAGAAAGGTCTCCCAGCTATCTTTTCTAAAGGATATTCATGCTTTGGGCCTTCTCCTGCTGATAGTGCCTCCATCAGAAGGTGAGGGGAAGCACTTTGAACTGCTTTTTAGATTGGAGAGGGAATCTGAAAATGTTCCTCTGGTGCTTGAAGCATGTACCCTTCCCTCACCCATCATGGAGAGCCACACTGTATGGCACTGTCCTTGCCCAACACTGTTCTTCTACTTGGCTGTCCTGTACAAGGCAGCAGGGGGAGAGGCAGCAGCTGAGGCCATCAGACCATGTGGGGAAAACGATATATAGCACATACATCTTTGCTGTCATCTAACACACTCCTTCTTTTGATCATTACCTAAGTTAGAATTCTTTTGGATTCACTATATCCATGGAGTGTGAAAAGCATGGGTTTGGGGACAGGCAGACCTGGAAATGATCCTGGTTCTGGATTGTGGGACCTCAGATCATTTAAGCTCTCTGAGTCTCAGTTACCCCATCTGTGAAATTAGGTTTCTAATGCCTACCTTATAGAGTAATTGAGGGGTAAACCTAATAATCAGGTCAGGTGCCTTAAACCACAGCATCTCCCACTTATGCTGTTTGGGGGGAACATGAGTGCCCTCCCCATCTTTTCCCTAATCCCCTATGTTATTTGGTAAAAGCAGATGACTTCTTAAAGATTGATGGGAAACAAAGCCAATGAGCATAGGCAAGGATACAGTTCATTCTTGGGCTCAATGAATTCTGACACTAGCTCTTCTGTAAACCAGAGGCTCACTCCGGGCACTTGTAAGCCCACATATGCCCTTCTTACCATCATATTTCATTGATATTTATTAATATGCAGATTACGGCCCTCTTTGAGAGATTTATTGGCTTCCATTTTGTTTCAAGATGGTGGCATGAACCACAAAACAAACTTTAACATGTACCTTGATCAGGATGGAGCTGTTTAAGATAAATTTCTTTAAATTTCAGTTAAATTACTGAAATCTCAAATGCTTTAAAAGTGTTCATGGAACAAACCTGTTGAGAGTTGACACAAAGCAGGCCAACTTTAGAAATTTTTATCAATAATGAAAGAAAAAGAGAAGGAAATACATTTCTTCTTCTGTATCTGGCATGATGCTATTTTCACATGTCAGCCCACCTGCAAGGTAGATGTGGTCCTTCTCACCCTAGAGGAGAGGACTGAGATTCAGGACAACGTACTTGTCCAAGGTCACAAAGCAGGTAGAGGAGCTGGGTTTGAGCCTAGGCTGCCTATCTCCAGATTCAGTGCTTTGCTTTCCAGACCATGTTGCCAGAGGGTCCCACCGGCTCAACAAGACAGGATAGGTGAGCTGTGGGCTTGTCCAGGTTCTCAGATCAGGTTGGGAAGAGCATCATACAATCCAGTGATGAGAGAGAATTGACATCCTGCTGAGGTTACATCCAGGAAAAGCAGCATGTGTGTCGTTTTTAAGTGGGTGGAGAGAGGGGGTAAGGACATAACCAGAGAATAAGCAATGTGCTTGGACCCAAGAAAATTAAGAAAAACAGCACACGGAATGAGAGGGAAAATTAGTAAAGTGGTTTAGGAGCAAAGCAGGCAAACATGGAATAAACAGAATAATCCTTTCATGGAGCCCCTGGGGTGCTGTTGAGGTTGGGTTGAAAATGCCTTGAAAACTGGTTGAAATGCCTGGCTGGGCCGGACGGTTGTCTGTAAACCTGGAATGTTCATCAGTCTCACGATGTAGCCCCATCTGGCAGTTCAAGTAGCCATCCGCTGCAGGTGTGTAATAAGTACCTACGGCACACGAGGCGTTCTTGATGTTGGCCCACGTCACTTGCATAGACACGTTCTGCGCCGCAAGCTTGGGGAATTGCATGCCCAGGCATAGTTGTATCTCCAGGAGGGAAGCTTCCCTCTGTGGGTCGTGGCTGTCAGAGTCCTGAGATCTGGCAGCTGATCTAGTCCCTGGTCTGTCAAAGTGCAGTCTGTGGCCGAGCAGCAGGGCATCCCCTTTGGAGCTTGTTAGAAATGCACAACCTAAGGGCACCTGGGTGGCTCAGTGGGTGAAGCATCTGCCTTCAGCTCAGGTCATGATCCCAGAGTCCAGGGATCGAGTCCTGCATTGGGCTCCCTGCTCAGCAGGAAGCCTCCTTCTCCCTCTGCCCATCACCCGACTTGTGCTCTCTCTCTCGCTCTTTCTTTCAAATAAATAAAATCTTAAGGAAAATAAAAGGCCCATGGAACCCACGGATTCAGAGTCTGCAGGTCAACCAGATCCCCAGGTCATGCGTATTAAAGTTGAAGAGCACAAATCTATTTGTTCCAAGCTTTGGCCTGAATCCTTCACCGTAGCCTTTTCCCCTGAGGCATCTGTCCACATCGGGCCTTCACAGAGCTTGAGCAGGAAAACTGAGAAGCTTAGCTGGTCTCCAGCCTCTTGGCAGATTTTCCTTTAAGATCTCCGGCCTCAGCCCATACTGAGGCATTGAGCTTCCCATGGTTTCACTTAAGCCTGTTTTTGTGATTAAACCTAAATTCCAGAACCAAAGCTCCTTGACCATATTCCATTAGAAAAATTAAAAAAGAATTGCAGCAAACAGAAGCCTTCTGTCTGAGGAGGGAAGGAAGAGCAGTATACACGGGGTGATGGACAGGGACGGGGGGTTGTCGGACACTCAGCAGGCCAGGGGGAAGGTTGGGCTGCCCATGACTGGCTTCTGCACACAGATGGGGGAGAGGTGGCTTCTGCCACTCTCTCGGGTGGCTCTTCTCCCCCTGGGGGCTGCCCTGGGTAAACAGATGTCAGATGTGATGTAGCAAGAGTTACAGGTGTCTGGGAAATTCATTTAGATCAAGCAGAAGACAGACAGCTGACCGAGGGAGAGGTCTGTGTCACACACGTTTTCCCACCCCGGCCTCTTGGAGGCAGATGGGAAGCCTCATGACCAGCTTCCCTAGTGTCCCTAGGCAGGTCGTTTAACCTGAGTGGAAAGTGGTGGGGAAGCGGGGCTCCACAGGAACCCCAGAAGCCGTTGCTTGACCCTCTACTGGGCTCTTGGCCGTGGGCTGAACATGACATCAGTATAGAGAGAAGGAAAGTAGAAAGGCCCAGAACCCCTTCCTCTTCGTGGAGGGTCCTCAGAACCAGCCAGGGGAGAGTCGTGCTCCTGTGGGGACTCCTGCCATGTCTGTCCCTCTCCTCCTGGGGTTAAGTGACCAGAGTGCCCAGGAGGTGTACTGGGGAAAGGAGCAGAGTGACGCCTCACAGTGCACTTACACCCTGTGTTCTGGGCTCTCCTGTGACCCCACAGGTTCGGTTTTCCGGGATGAGTTTGACCTGGCCATTCTCCAGCTGCAGGAGAACAACCGCCTAGAAATTCTGAAGCGCAAATGGTGGGAAGGCGGCAAGTGCCCCAAGGAGGAAGATCACAGAGCCAAAGGTAAGCGGGTCCAGGAACGTCCCCTCCTGCTCTGGGGGACAACAGCTTGTTCTGGTGTCGAGAGTTAAGATGATGGTTGCTGGAACACACGGAGAGCAAGCCTTGGAAGGAAGTTAGGGCTGGGCGGGGCAGGGCTGAGGGCTGGAGCCTCTGCGAAGGCTCCCCCAGAGAGGACAACCCTCCCCTCACCCGTCTCCCCCATCCCCTGAGCTCTGCTTTGGTTTTCTTGTCAGGCCTCATCACTCCTTGATACTATATGTTCTATTCATTCATTTGTCTACTTTCCATTTCTTCTACCGGAATATGTGTCGTGACAGGACTTGTCTTCCTCACAGGGCTGTCCACAGGGCCTGGCACATGGATGTTTTATTGAATGAATGAATGAGTGAGTGAATGAATGAAGTCTAGATCACACTGGATAGAAAGCAGTCACCGGCTGATATGTGTGGTGGGGGAGTGTTCAGGGTCCCTGAGCACCCGGGATTTTTTGTAGGGGGTTCGCCCAGGATAGTCCTGGGCTACATCTGTTGTCGATCGTTTAATGCCTCTTAGTTATTTTTAGAACCCTCTTTATGTCTCGTAATGTCCTGGCTTGGACAATAAATCATATGATCGCCCTAGTCATCTAAGGCAGCCTTGCTAAAATATGTAACAAGTTTACTTATACACGCTGTCCCCTAGGAAGGCGGCCGAGGAGGGAAATGAGTAATACTGTATGCTTCCCTCTCTGCCCGGCGTGAATGATTATCCGTGATGAGACAGTGAACGAGTGACTTTGTGTTTCCAAGTGTCTCTGCGTGGGAATCTGTCCTGCAAGACAAGGTCTTGGGAATATGGCCTTCTGGGTAGTTTAGTGGCCTTTTCTGAATTAGAGGAAATGCTGTCCCTTCCCTCATAGGAAGCCATGGAAGCCACACAAACCTTGGCTTTCCGGTCCCCAAAGATCAAGTGTGGAGGAGACTAACTCTGTTCAGAAAAAAGGAAGGAAGGAAGGAGAGAGAAAGAATATGAAGGAAAGGAAGAAAGAAGGAAATGAATGAATGAATGAATGAATGAATGTGGGTATCATAAAACTTCTGTGGATTTGATAGAATGAAGTAGATGTTGAAGATGTTTAGGACCTGAGTGGTAGGGAGGGTCGGAGGGGCTGTTGCCGGCAATGGGCCCCTTGAGGAAGATGCAGCAGGAATCCGTGATGTGGGCAGGGGCTCCATGGGCGCAGCCGGAGCCGAGCAAGGTTCCCGTGGGGAGAGCGGAGCTGTACGGAGGGTTTGTCCCGGGAAGGTGTGGGTAGTGAAATGCTCCTGCACCACCCCCTCCCCACAAAAAGACACGTGGATTGAAAACAGTCTAAATCTGACTAGGCCTGGAACAGTGGAAATAAAATGAGCTTATTGATAAGGTAACATAGGTCAATGTTGTTCTGTGATAACAGTGACCTTCAGACCGGTGGGAAAGAGCAGCAGTCTTGCCAAGCGGGGGAGGGAACCGGTGGTGGCCTTTGATCTGGAATAATCTAAAGTAGAAACAGGGAGGTGAATCTGGGCCCCAGAGCGGAGGGACCTTGAGTCCGTTTCCTGACCGATGACTGAACTAGGAGAGATGTCCAGGTAGCTCTCTTCGTAGAAGCCCCTGGTCCCCCTCTACCCCCACTTCCCCAGTGGCCTGGGTGCCTTCTCTGTCTTGGACAGAGAACTCAACCTTCTACATTGCAGCTCCTGGTCTCTGCTTGGCAGACGGCACCTTAGCCGTGGACCCAGTCTTGTTTGTTTCTGTGTCCCTAGCCTCCCCGACAGAGCCTGGCACATACTAGCGACCCAGTAAATATTTGTGGGATCCGTGACTAAAGCTGCTGGCTGGTAGTTGTCAAAAGCTACCAATGGCAGTGTCCTCCTGGGTCACATTAGCAAAGTGACCAATGAAACTGATTCAGTGACCTTCCTGCACAACCTTCATCCCAGAGCTGTCCACGTAGTCAGGTCGTTCCTGCCTCTGAGCAGCTGACCCAGAGGATATGGTGATGCAGAGACACTGTGGATGAGGGAGGCTGAACACCATGGGAGGGGGCCAGGAGTCAGTGCTCAGAGCAGTGTAGGGACCCCGACAAACTCCTGCATTGTCGTCCACCCCCACCCCAGCTGGCAGCTAGCTCTGCCAGCTCCAGATCTCCCTCCCCTCCTGCTTCCCACTGTCTGTGGGCTTCCCCAGCTTTCCCTGCCTTTGTCAACCCAATCCCCATTTGATCTCTTGGAGCACATTTCCCCTCGAGGCTCACTGCTGAATTGCTCCCATGTCTCCAGTTTCCCCCTTTCATCCTTGACCCCGAAACCTGGCCACAGGTTCTTCCCTTCTGTGCATGTATGTCTTTGCTGGTGTTTATTTATGCATCCCGCTGATCCCAGAGAGAAACAGTTAGAGGGCAGCAAAATTGGCAAATACGATGATTTGGGTGCTCTATCATGGTCACTCATGGGCCCCTGTCTTGATCATCTCTCCCACTCAAGGTGTCACTGAAGTCCAGTGGAATTCCCCCAACCCTCCTCCCACCCTCCAAGAAGGGAGCTCGTTAGACTTTTACTGTCCTGCCTACCTGTTTGTTCTACCATCAGCCACGAGGATAGCTCTCTTCCCTCGGGCAGTTTCTATAAGGTTCAGGATCATGGGCCTTGGTTCAGATGGATCCCACTCCATAAACGGCCTCATTACAGACACTAAAGAAACATCTTTGAGCCTCAGTTTCCTTCTCTAGGAAATAGAGATGATGATGAATAATCATGTCACCTCCAGGGCTATTGTGAAGATCGAATGACATGAATCATGTTGAATAAACCCTCTGCAAAAGTGACTGGCACAAAGGAAGTGAGAACTAATTTTATTCCCAAATCTAGGCCTTGAGGAGCAATTAAGGCACCGTGAGAGTTCTGAACAGTGTCCACAGCCACAAGCGTGCCCACTCATCATGTGCTCCTTAAGGCTAGATAGCTCTTTTAAAACCCACGCTTACGACATCTCTTTTGCATCTGTTGACATTTGTCCCCCACAGACTATAAAGAACTCAAATGCAGGGACTGTGTCTTATTTATTTTTGTATCTTGGTGACCAGCATTATCACATGACATCCATGTTTTGATGAAAGGATGAACAGTGAATGAATGAATGAATGAATGAATGAAGTGGGCAATCATCTCAAGGACCTCCAGACTGGTACCACTTCCTATGCCTATTGACTCCCAAACAGGAACCTTGACCCCCCCCGCTGGTGGCATAGAAATGTTCGCATACCCCCACTGCATCCAATGTGCTTTGTAAATCAGTGCATATCAGACGCTGTGCTAGGCTCTGAGATTATGGAAGAGACTAAGACATAGCCCCGTCCTCAAGAGGTTTAGAACCTAGAGAGGCACAAATCATCACTATAATGCTTGCACTGTAGGAATGCTTTACGAGACCCATAAAGTGTTTATGAAGCCCAGGGGAGGAAGTGATTAATTCTGAGCAGGGGTCAGGGAAGACTTTAGGGACATTTGACCTGAACCTTGAAGCATGTATCAAGAGTCACTGCTTTAGGAATGCTGTAGAGCATAGCTATTGCGTTCAGAAACTGGTTTGAATAATTAGGACAAGGTTGGAGTTCAGAGAGCATTGAAAACTTATAGGAAGCATTTGGACTACAAACCAGCATATCCCAAGCTTTTCATTGGTAGGAATTAATAGCAGCAGACAACAAGCCTATGCACTTGGGGGCCTGGAGACATCCTCTAAAACAGCCCACCGTGCTTAGAATGTCCTTGGTCTCCTGTTTTATTCTAAAAACACATGAATTTTGCAACTTACAATGTAACATAGGCTTGTTTATTTAAAATGGTTTTTCCACCTCAACTCTAAGTAAAATTAGTGTCCCAGAAGATGCTTCATAAATATCCAAGGGCATTGCCAATGCCTTGGCACTCTGGGCTGAGTTTGAGAGTGTTGGCTCCAGACTTCAGAGATGCTGGGCTAAGACAGGACATAATGAAAGCAGGTTCTGGGATGGAATTCTGAGCTGTCCCTGGCGCTCATGGTCTCAGGGGACAGTCCTTGCCTCAGGAGGAACAAAGAATCAAATTATTGACTTTAAGTTCCAACAGTTCTTACAACTCAGCAGAGACAGTGTTCTTAGAAGTCAAGGTTTTTGATTTGCCAGAAAAATATTTTGCAATACGGAAGGCTAATACCTAAAGGAAGCTTGGCATGAAGCCGGCACTAGAAATTAGAGAGTAGAAAAATAATACAAGACTCAGGCCACATCTGCAAACCAGATTAAAAATAGTAATAATAATAATAATAACAGCAACAACAACAGCAGCACCCTGGCCAGAATAGGGAGCTTCTGAGCAGGAAAAGGATATATTGGAATGTGGAGGGTCCCTAGGAAGGAGCTCTTTACCTTGCTGGGATACAAGACAGGAGCAGATAGAACTCCTAGATTAGTTGGGGATTCTAAGAGGTAAAGAGATTTTTTTGTTTGCTTCTGGAGTTTGGAAAGCCCCAGAAATATGTGTCATGCTACAGTGAAGAGAGGGCATGAGCGATGAGACAGGGGGACCCAGGGCAGGGAGCGACCAGTGACAGGCTTGCATTTTCCTAGTCCCACAGATATTGGAAATCTAAGTGGAACCCGGCATTAAGACCAGATACCTAACCCACCCCATGACGCATCATCTCCTTCCTATCCTCAGACCCGAACTACATCCAGGGGTGAAGTGAGAACAGAGGAAATACTGATTTGGCTGAATTTAAAGCCAAAGTGACTGAGAAGTCTCAAAGTTTTTGGCAATCGGTGGAAATGGGAGCTAGGGGTAGACATCAGGTAATTTATAAAAAACTTAAGTTAGAGTTTCTGCCAAGTGGAAAAGCCTGGGGTTTGGAAACCCTTCCCCAGTCCACAGAGGCTGACGCTAGAGCTCAGGAGGGATGGAGAGGGGAGGCACACAGGCAGATCAGGCTCCCAGGGAAGTTGG